ATCATCGGATTTCTATTCTCGTTTATTTGTTCTCAACCGTTTCGATTTGTCAAACAAAAACTGCTCGAGTAAATCCGATAGCTATTAACAATGACTGGTTCAAGTCTGAAAATATGCTACCAACTCATCATGCAGTGGATTTTTTGTTTATACTCTCAAAATTCGGTTTTATCGAGTCTTTCTGAGTCTAGTCTATTCTAGTCTAGGTAGTTAAGTCTAGCGAGTCGTCTAGTGTCTAGAGTCATTTCTATTCATGTGGGGGATTGTTGGAACTGTTTTTTGGACAAATTGGTATGGCCAATATTTTGGATGGAATTGTTGAATTCCTTGTAATAAGTACTATGATATAGTATAATCATATGCCAAAAAAAAGTTTATTTGAATGAGAAATGAAATTCTAATATGAGATTATTTGTAAAATATCTATATTAGAAATATGAGGTTTAAATCCTCTTTTTTTTTAAGTGGAAAGAATTGTGTAAGAAAAGATATTTGTACCATACATAAATTTCATGGTTTGGAATTTAATAAATGGTTCTATAAATTAAAAGGAAAATTAGACTTGTTGATCTAAATATTTATTTTGAACTTTATGGTTAACAAAGTTAAAAATATATAATGAGAAAATATATTTTCTAATCATAATGATATGGTCAACATGCAATAGTGGGGAGTTAATACAAAATTGATTCTGATTTTGTAATCTACAACTAAATGCATATCACATAATTATGATGAGAATCTCCACTTTCATTTTGAACGTTTAATTTGTGTCAAACATACGATTTGGAAAAGGCTATATAAAGCCATGCTCTTCTCATTCTTAAAATACACATCCAAGAAAACAAATCAATAGTCCCTTGCTTAATTTTTTTTTTTTTTTTTTGTGTCTGAGAATATAACGTAGATTCTAGGTTTGACAGACTTTGATTCTCAAGTGTTGTGAGATCGAAGATATTGGCAATTGTATCTTGTGTTTCTTAAGCGTATCAAACCGGCACACTACGGACATTTAAAGGATTAAAGAAAGAGATCTTAATCTCGACTCTGCTTCGGTCCATTTCTTTTCCATTACTGTATTATATTATTGTATTTTTGATTCATGTTATTTGTAATTTTTTGCTTTACATATCAAATTTGCCTATCTAGTAAATTTGGTGCCTACACTTGGATGCCAGACACTGACAAGGTTCATTTACAGTCAGGTATTATATTAGGTGGAGAATTTGACATGTTTAATAGTTGATAAAGTTAAGCGCTTGTACACTTATGCTTGTCCATGATGAAAATGTGAGGTATCTAACTCTTCAATCTGGTATGAATAGGTTGGTGGAACTTACACTCACAGTATTGATAAATTTACTCATAAAGTTTGCTCATTAGCTCGTGAAGAAGGTGATCAACATCAAAAGCGGTGTCTGAGAGCATCTGCCTTGCAATGCCTTTCAGCTATGGTAGCAAAATTTGATCTTTTCATCTTCCAAAAAAGTGTCTATCCAGTTTTAATCAGTGGTTTTGTATGTTTGTTTCTTCAACAGGTGTGGTTTATGGGAGAGTTTTCACATATCTTTACCTCTGTTGATGACATAGTACATGCCATTCTTGATAATTGTGAGGCATGCATGATCGTTCAGACCAATGAAGACAGAGAAGAGCAAAACTGTAACTGGGTGAATGAAGTGATCAGATGTAAAGGCCGAGGAACAGCAGTCGACGGTGGTAATAAGCCTAGCTACTTGATTGTCTGACCAAGAAGTGCAAGAAAAGATCCGGCTCTATTGACTAAGTAACTAACTCTACCCTCTAATCTTTGCTGTCATCTTTTTTTCTTCGAATTTACTTAATGTGCTGATATTGTTTCAGAGAAGAGACTGAGATGCCCAAAGTTTGGGCACAGATTTGTCTCCAGAGGATGGTTGATCTGGCTAAAGAAACCACAACTCTGCAACAAATCATGGATCCTATGCTTAGCTATTTCAACTCTAGACGCCAATGGACTCCTCCAAACGGTCTGGCCATGATAGTTTTGTCTGATGCAACATACTTTATGGAAACCTCTGGTATCTACTTCTTTTTTAGTTAATTAGAACATAAGTTTTTGTCTAAGACATGTATGTGTACTCACAGTTATGGTTCTTTATATACTAGAGAGTCATCACTTGGTGTTATCGTCTGTAATACGTCATCTTGACAATAAGCATGTTGCCAGTGATCTTGAACTCAAGGCCTGTATCATACAAGTTGCTGGCTGTCTAGCAAAGCTGATTAGGAACAGCTCGTATCTTAGGGATATAAGTTTTGTTAGTGACTTGTGTCGGCATCTGAGGAAAAGCTTTCAGGAAACATTGAGATCAATTGGAGAAGAGGAACTCAACTTGAACTTGATGCTTCAAAACTCTATTGAAGAGTGTCTGCGGGAGGTAGCCAAAGGACTTGTAAATACACAACTTGAACTTGATGCTTCAGGTGTTGTTTCACGTGCAGCGGTTGGATCACTGTCGATTCTTGCACATTCAATGTCTTCAGCACTATCACCATCTATACGTTCACAACAGGTGAACTATAACTTTGTGTTTCCTCTCAGTGTTTAGCCTTAATCTTTATAGTTTATTTTCGTACAGGTTTTCCCTGACACACTTCTTGATGCGCTTCTAAAAGTAATGCTTCATCCAGATGTGGAAACCCGTGTGGGAGCTCATGAAATATTCTCTGTAATTCTCTTGCCAAGTTCTGGTCAATCTCAGGCATCAGTTAGATCTTCTTTCTACGTTAAGCATCAGTTAGATCTTCTTTCTACGTTAACGAATCCAAGAATTTGAGGAGTGAGACAACCTCCACGTTTACATCTATCGCTGCTAGATTAGACAATCTTCCCAAAACTTTCACAAGTTGAATTCCATGATTGATAGGACTGCTGGTTTTATCAGTCTAGCTGATATGGTAACCTTTTTCCTTTGTTTACAATTGGATGTTATGTGTGCTAATGGACTATCACATGCTAATGCAATCGTCTGATACTATCTTGTGGTGCAGTTACCATCAATGATGAAGTTTACTGAAGATCAAAGTGGGCAGTTGTTATCTGCATTTTGGACACAATCAACTCTTTCTGATATATTACCTTCAAACATTGAAGCTATTGCTCATTCTTTCAGTTTGGTGCTTCTTTCCTTGCGGCTAAAGGTAATTTCTTCTGTCTCTCTTAATATTTTGCTCTGTGAGGAAAGATCTACACTTTGGTGATGCTATACTTGAGCCTCTCATGATAACTTTAATTGCAGAATCCTGATGATAGGCTTGTTGTTCGAGCCATCCAGCTTCTCATCTCACTGAGGAATCTTTCTTTGGACCTTAATAACGGTATTGATTGATAATATTCTCTTAAACTGATCAAAAATTGAGAAATCTTTTATGTGCATTCAAACTTTCCTCATTGCCAGGCACATTACCAACGGTTTGCAAGCGGCTGATCCTTGCTTTATCCACAAGTACGCTGATGTTTGCTGCCAAAATATATCAAATTCCTCATTTTTGTGAAGTTTTGAAGGGTCAACTTCCTAGTGACGTGAGTTCTTTTCAGTGTGTTTTTTTTCAGTTCATTATTTTTTTCCATGGAGTTTGTGTATAACTTGATCATGTGCTCAAAATGTTTCAGGCAGATCCGTATCTGCTCACTGGCGGTGACTTACAACTTCACGTAAGACCACAGGCAAATCTGAAAGCCTTTGGGTCCTTAGGAGATGACCAGATGGCTACTTCGATTCTGCTTGAGATACGAAGGAAAGTAGAACTGTCCAACACTCTATTTAAAATTACAAAGGTAAAGATTTTATATTATTTATTTGTTACAACCATTAGCTCTAAATTGTATTAAACCTGGTGTTTCTTCTGCTAGTGATTTAACGTTATATGTATTCTCTTGTTAAGCTCGAGAAAGCTGATGTAGAGATGCAACTCTCTGAGCCATTCGCGACTGATGATGCTTTCATGTTTGGATCACGGCCTGTGAATGAGTCTGAACCAAACCAAAGTATCTCTAAGGAATCATCACTGTCCTTCGATGAGGTAAAGTATTCTCTCAATTATCAAGAACCATATTGGATTTTTCTGTAAGACTTGGATGTTAAATATAATTATCTTACGCTTGTGTTTCTATATTACAGGACGTACATGCAGGTTCAATGGTTGAGGACGAAGTAACGAGTGAGCTCTCTGTACGTTTTCACCCAAGAGGGTCTCCTTCACTATCTATTCCTCAAGTTATCAGCAGTGACCAGCTCATGGAAGCTGTAAGTGCAGAGTGACATTAGTTAGAAACTGGTTGATGTAGATTTGTATCTTCTTATGACTGGTTCGTGAATTTGTTGTCTAGGCGCGTGAGGTGGCTGGTCAAGTGGTTGTTTCATCTGACTCCACTTCTCCGCTTCCTTACGACACAATGACAAACACGAAACCTTTGGAACTGAGACAAGACAGCAATTCTCAAGGTGGTTAGCCACCGAGAACCGTCAGGTCAATGGGCTCTACAGAAATTCGTTAGAGGAGTCATATGCACTTGAGAAGGTACGTTAAGCGCCGAGTCAGGAAGATTTTGCGGACAAATGTTAATATTGTATCCCAATAAACTTTATCATTTGAGAAAAGTCTTGCAGGCAACAAGAGAAGATAAGAGAGAATCATATGATTCCATGATGAGTCTGCCTCCCAACTAATCCCTTTGACAATTTACTCAAAGCAGCAGGAGCAGGAGCAGGAAGATGATTTAATTAAACTTAGCTAACTATAGTGTATATTGTGTACTGTAATGATCTTATTAGCTAACTATCTAGTCTAAGGCCAAGCACAATGCTTCTCTTCTCTGTTTTAAAGACAAGACACAGCTTGTACTAATGGATATAAAATCCATATTAACGTTAATAACACCACTTTAAAGGCCGTAACTTTACTAATAACTATGAACGACGCCGTTTCGTCCACTCTGTTCCTTTAAAGCTTCGGTTTTGCTTCGTCGGGGGGTTTATGAAGGGCTTTGATACGAATCTCCGTCTCCAACCTTCTCCACAACTCTCCAATGCTTTCTTGCCTAAAAAGCTAACCCTAACCAACCCTAACTTCAGATCTTCCTCCTCTCCACCAATGTTGAAGCTTTTCTCCTCCTCTGCTTCCCGAGCCCACCACCATCTGACCCCCGCGATTCGACCCGGGACTCGCTCAGTGGACTCTCCCCTTTTCAAAGCGCTGAGTCAGTTCACCGGGTTGAATCGGAGATCGAGTTCGCTTGGTCACCGTGTTTTCTTCTGCTCTGATAGCGCCTCTGACGCAGAGGCGGTGGCTGAGGCTGAGGCTAAGGTAGCAGAGGCGGAATCCGAAGGGTCTGATTCGAAATCTTCGTCGGCGATTGTGTCTACTAACCCTAGACCCGAAGATTGTTTAACGGTTAGCTCAATTTTGTACTTCAAAGCTCTGTTTTTTCTGGGTGAAATGCGTAAAGGTTGTGACTTTATTGGATCGTTCTTGTTGAAATGATTTTAAAGTTGTAAGCTTTAGTTATATTTCAAGTGGTCTAGATTGTGTAATGGCTTAATGCATGTTGCTTATGAGATGCTTTTTCATCTTTAAGTGGTTTTGTAGCATTTTTGAATCTAGATTCAAGCAAAGATAGTGGCTTTTTGTGAGTGTAAATGTGTAATAGATTTTGAATTCAGCGGCTTTTATGTTTCTCGTTTTGTTTAATTGCAGGTTCTAGCATTGCCGGTGCCACATAGGCCGCTTTTTCCTGGGTTTTACATGCCAATCTATGTCAAGGTTTGTCTATTCAATCCTTTTAATGGCCTTAGTGCATTATACAGAACATGGTTCTTGTTTAGACCTCAGATCTCATAGTACTCTGGATTGAACTGTATGTAGCCTTAAATTTAGATTCGGTTTCATATATTTTGGTATTTGGTAGAGTCAGGTTCATTGTTTATCCTAGTAACAAGAGAAACTGGTGAGAAATGAGTTATCAAAGTTGGCACCACGTATATTGTGTAGTACCTACTCGTTTAGTTCTACATATAGATAATTTTTTAGCTGCATTTGACACACAAATGTTGGTTTGTATTTGTAACTTCGTCGTTTCTTGTATTGTAATCTCTCCTGCATGGTCATTCTATGAGTTTAGACAATGAGCTAAAATTACTTATCTCCGGCCATAGACATAGCATTGTCTTTGGTTTGGGAGATGTCAGATTTTGCTGGTCTCTGACCTGCATGTGCTTTTTTCTGTATTCAGGATCCTAAAGTACTCGCAGCTTTACAAGAGAGCAGAAGACGTCAAGCTCCATATGCTGGAGCCTTCCTTCTGAAGGATGCCCCATCAACTGATTCATCTTCAAGCACCGACATAGAGAAAAACATAAATGAGCTGAAAGGGAAAGATTTGCTTGAACGGCTTCACGAAGTTGGCACACTTGCTCAGGTATTGTGTTGCTGCGACTGCTCTATAGCGTCTGTTTAGTGTCCGTGTGATAAACCAAAAGACATGACTAGCATTACGGTTCCTTTGCTGATTTTTTTCAGATTTCAAGTATCCAAGGGGACCAAGTTATCCTCGTTGGTCACAGACGGCTTCGCATAACAGAGATGGTAAGTCGGTAGAGTATCAGGTTTCACATGTGTTCTTTGGTTTATCAAGTCACTTCTCTAAGGGAGAAATTTATGTCCTTTATTCAGGTGAGTGAAGAACCACTTACCGTCAAAGTCGATCATCTTAAGGTAACTTCTATGCTTTTCCTTGTATGATGTAAAGACTTTTATTTGGTTTTCCCTTTCCAAATTCAGTAAGGCATGAACCATTTTTCTTTCTCTCTGTGCAGGATAAGCCATTTGACATGGACGATGATGTCATCAAGGCAACATCCTTTGAAGTAATTTCAACGCTTAGGGATGTGCTAAAGACGAGCTCACTCTGGAGAGATCACGTCCAGACGTATACACAGGTATGTTCTCTTCATGATTTTCACTTGCGCAGGTAAAAAAGTTTCAGGATACAAGTATCTTAGTAGATATCTTTCAAACTTGTGTAGCATATAGGTGATTTCACTTATCCACGGTTAGCCGATTTTGGAGCGGCAATCTGTGGTGCAAATAGGAAGCAAGCTCAAGAAGTTCTTGAAGAACTGGATGTAAGTACCTTCACTATTACTGCGCTTGTATGGTATTCCATGCTTGTTCAATTCTCATCTCTTCAAATCTTGATCCAGGTTCATAAACGTCTGCGGCTGACGCTGGAACTGATGAAAAAAGAAATGGAAATTAGCAAGATTCAGGTACTTCATTTTCTTACTTTCTTGTGTTTCCAACTAAGGAGCTACTTATCCAATAAGTGTGTGATGAGAGCAGCTTTTTATCTTTTGAGCCTTTTGCAGGAAACCATAGCAAAAGCAATTGAAGAAAAAATTAGCGGTGAGCAACGCCGTTACTTGCTAAACGAGCAGCTCAAGGCTATAAAGAAGGTATTCTTAAGCCCGCTTTACAGATTGTATTTGCTACTTTCCTCCACATACCATATCTGTGTGGTATATAGCGTATTTGGGAGATTCATTTTAATCCTTAAGTGGTCCAATGCAGGAGCTCGGTGTGGAGACAGATGATAAATCTGCACTTTCTGGTCAGTACTAACTTAAAAAT